GACAGGTTTTAACATTCTAACTGGTTCTGACAGGTTTTAACATTCTAACTGGTTCTGACAGGTTTTAACATTCTAACTGGTTCTAACAGGTTCTGACTGGTTCTGACAGGTTCTGACAGGTTCTAACTGGTTCTGACAGGTTCTAACTGGTTCTGACAGGTTCTAACAGGTGCTAACAGGTTCTGACAGGTGCTAACAGGGTCTGACAGGTGCTAACAGGTTCTGACAGGTGCTAACAGGGTCTGACAGGTGCTAACAGGGTCTGACAGGTGCTAACAGGGTCTGACAGGTGCTAACAGGGTCTGACAGGTGCTAACAGGTTTTAACATTCTAACTGGTTCTAACTGGTTCTAACAGGTTTTAACATTCTAACTGGTTCTAACAGGTTCTAACAGGTTTTAACATTCTAACTGGTTCTAACAGGTTCTGACAGGTGCTAACAGGTTCTGACAGGTTCTAATTGGTTCTGACAGGTTCTAACTGGTTCTGACAGGTGCTAACAGGATCTGACAGGTTCTGACAGGTTCTGACTGGTTCTAACAGGTTCTAATTGGTTCTAACAGGTTCTAGATCACAGCTGGACCAGTGTTTCAGAACATCGTGACATACCGACGGTGTGGATTGGCTTCCTGTAGGGCATCAGACCGAAGCTGTACTGGAAAACTCCTCTGGCGTGGAACAGAGGGAGGGCGATTCCCATGATGCTCTGCAGGCGGTTCTGTGGGAACAGAACACATCCCATAATATTTACACAGGTCCYAACTTACGGTTCTGGTTCTGATGACCTCTGACCTGCAGCCTCCTCAGAGGAGAGCCGACTGGATTCTCCATCTGATCGAAGAGCTCGTTTTCTCCAAAGGAAAAGACCGGAACCAGCTGGGCTCTGAGCACAAACACACAAACATCAACAGCAACACACAACACAAGCTCCGCCCTATCCTTAGGCTCCACCCACCCATGTTTGAGGGCCAGTTTGATGAAACCCTTCCTGTGTTTCACCTGAAAAACAAACAGACCAGGTAAAAATTAACAGAAGAAAACCATCAGTCCATCAGGTTCTGGTCCTGCTGAGTCTTCATAGTCTGGTCCTGCCGAGTCTTCACAGTCTGGTTCTGCTGAGTCTTCATAGTCTGGTCCTGCCGAGTCTTCACAGTCTGGTTCGTCATTTAGTTCTAGGGTACAGCTGTGGTCGTTTGTCTTAAGTTTGGTCACAGAAAGAGGAAGTCCCCTCATGTCCCTGACGTTCTGTCCCAGATGTCCCCTCCTGTCCCTGACGTCCCCTCCTGTCCCAGACGTCCCCTCCTGTCCCAGACGTCCCCTCCTGTCCCAGACGTCCCCTCCTGTCCCAGACGTCCCCTCCTGTCCCAGACGTCCCCTCATGAAGTCC